CAGGGTTTCTTCCCACTCCACAAGAAATCCCTGACTATCTCATTATACTGCTTAAGCACCGATATAGGAAGGTTTAAGGGTAGCATCATATTGATATAATTAATCTTTGAGGATACCATAATTTTAACTGTATTAATCTTTCCCCATAGAGATAAATTCAACAACTTCCACTTGGCAAAGCTAGTCTTAATATTTTGTAGTATTGGATTAATATTAATTTGAACAATCTCCTGAAAGTCTGTGGTCAATCTTATACCCAGATACAATTGCCAATTAAATTTCTAGCCTGACATCTCAGAAAAACTCTCAATATTCATGACACTTGGAAAAGAAGAAGCTGGGTCTGAAAGAAGCAACACAATATCATCTACATCTTATTTTGGGGAGTTTTTCCTGATCAGCTGTGAGGGTCCTAAGGACAGAGGGATGTCGTATGCTGTAAAGCCCTGTGAGGCAAATTGTGATTTGTGATATTGGGCTTTATAAATAAAATTGATTGATTGACTGATTGATTGATGTGCATTTGTCTTCATCTACACATCTCTGACTTATACAATTTTTCATAAAAACTTTTGAAGACTTTGTTGATTTCCACATTATCTGTTAAAACTTCCCCCTTATGATCATTAATTGCTGGAATTAAAAAGCTAGCATCTTTTGGTTTCAGTTGTCTTGCCAATAGTTTGCCAGACTTCTCTCCACTTTCATAGAAGCTTGTTTTTAACCTGAAGAGGGCATACTCCGCTTTCTTATTGGATATCTCATTGAGCTGATACTTTAAGTCACAGAGTTTTTTAAACTGATTATAACTATAGCGTTGTGACAGCTTATTTTCCATGTTCTTAATCTGAGATTCAAGCTCTTTAATTCTTGTATTAGTCTGCTTTTTCAGAGAACTGGTATGTGAAATTATCTTGCCCCGTACATAAGCCTTGGAGGTTTCTGTCCCTAAACTCTCCGTTGAGCCAATATTATGATCAAAGAAATCCTTGAGATCAATTTCCAGGGCAGTCTTAAATGTGGGGTCTTGAAGCAGCGATGTATTTAGTCTCCACCTACTTACCCTAGATCCACTGGATTTAATCATCATGCTTAACTCTACCGGAGCGTGATCAGACACAGCTATCACACCAATCTTACAATCCACCACTTTCTCAATAATTTCTCTAGAGACCAGGAAATATCTATCCTTGAGTGTGACCTATGCATATGTGAAAAGAAACTCTTTTTCTCTGGGATTTACCAATCTCCATATGTCAACCAGACCAAATTCATCATCATTTGTATAGCTAATCTGTCCCGTGGCACATATTTATAATATGTTGTTCGGTCTAACTGGGCATCCTGCACCCGATTGAAATCCCCAGCAATTAACATCTGAACCCCCCCCCCCAAATTCTCCCATAGTTTTGTTAACCATATGAATAAAATTGCTATCCTCCTTATTTGGAGCATACACATTACATATCAATCAATCAATCAAAAAATCAGTTTTATTTATAAAGCCCAATATCACAAATCACAATTTGCCTCACAGGGCTTTACAGCATACGACATCCCTCTGTCCTTATGACCCTCACAGCTGATCAGGAAAAACTCCCCAAAAAACCCTTTAACAGGGAAAAAAAACGGTAGAAACCTCAGGAAGAGCAACTGAGGAGGGATACCTCTTCCAGGACGGACAGACGTGCAATAGATGTCGTACAGAACAGATCAACATGATAAATTAACAGTAATCTGTATGACACAATGAGACAGAAAGAGAGAAAGAGACAGAGGGATGCAGGACAGATGGTAATGGTAATAGCTTACCACAACATTAATGAAAGTAATAATATTATAGTTATAATTCATATGTTAACTTTTACCCCATCAATAACATTCTATCCTCTGTAGCGGGAGCAGATGTGTAGTAGGAACATATGTGTGAACCTAATTATGTGGGGAACATATATGGTGAGGGACGGGGGGTATGTGTGTTATTGAAGGAACGTGTAAATAAAGAAAACTAAAGAGCTACGTACGTTACCCGTCTGGATCTCTAAACAATCCCTGAGCACGACATGTTACACCCTCATCATCCTTTTTTTGACTGAGTACAACTAGATTCACCTTCTTATGTACCAATATTGCCAACCCATTCTTTTTGCTATTAAATGAATTGTGGAACACCTGGCCTACCCAGTCACGTTTAAGTTTGTCTTCTTCTTTGCCCTCCATGTGTGTCTCCTGAATCAGTGCTATATCCGCTTTGTTAGATTTTAGATAGCTCAACCATTTCCTTCTCTTTATAGGATTTTGGGACCCATTACTATTCCATGAAATCATCTTTATATATTTAGCCATTGGACAGCATAATATTATCTAGTATTTAGTCGAGCGTGTGCCTGCATAAGATGAGAGTGCCCACCTCTTTGAGTCATCACCTGTGCTGTGCATACCACATAAAAACATAAAACACTGTACTAAGCAAACCATAAGGAACTTTAGAACACTAAAAATAACCCCGTTATCTTTTCCCCCTTCCCCTCAACACCCCTTTTTCCAAAAGGATATTGCACATGGTCCGTGAGGCGCAACAACAGGAATCCTGCCAGAACTCGCTCCCCACCCACCTTAGATACATATTACTCACATGTCATAAATCTGTAAATACCACCCAGTTTCACACTGGGAGGAAGTTATAACATTCTCTTTTACAAAAATCCAATTTTAAAAGAATACTCTGACGATTTGGGAGTTATGCCCTTTCTCTATCATTTTCATATTGAGCTAACATGATGGATATCTTTTTTGTGTCTGTCCATCCAGTGGCTGGGTCTCAGCGGTTAGCATTGCGGTTTAGCTTGGCGAATACTATTGAAGTCTATAGGGGGTCAGTAGCCTACAGTAAAAGTCAACAAATAAACGTTACAGAAACCCTGAAGCTGGCATTTCTGCACGTGCATTTAAAATAAACAACTTTAAACATTAATTTGAAAAACAAGAGTCCTTTTTAGTCGTTTTGGAAGAAGTTTGATACACGGAACTATAGTGTGTTTACGCCCTGCGCTGTGATCCGTGGAGGGATACACCGGTGAGCAGGCACAGGCACAGACATAGCCTGTAAACAAAACTCAGTTCTTTATTTAGCCTAACTATATCTCCGGACTATAGTAGCTGCAATGGACAACTTTGAATGCGATTTTGAAGTTTCTTGTAGCGGACACAGATCCAGAGCCATACCTGTTTAAGCTGGAGTATACAGATGAGGATCTCCAGGTGTTGGACGCTGAGTGGGCAAGAAGAGAGGCTGAATCCTCCGAGGCAGCGGAACAGCAAGGGGCCGAGGGGAGACGGAGGTCAGGGGAGGATTGGTGGTGTAGCTGTGGGGCTTGCCAACCTATGCCTACAGAGGTGGAATCATTTTGCTGCACAGAATGGGACTCAGTGCTACCATCGTTGGGGAGATATATCATCATCATCATCATCATCAGGAGGAAAACTGCCGCAGAGAGTGCATCACAAGGAGTGAAAACTTTGCAGCAATCACTAATCCTGGTGTGATTGAAACATTTATTCATGTTCCTAAGATAAACTGGAAAAAACGCCCCAGGCCTGCAGGAGCTGATGGACAGCTTTCAGTCGAGTGAATAATATCGCTTTATAATGCACATTTACAGTGCCTTTTCATCTAGCATGAGAAAAGTTACCTAAAATTGAATTGTGTGCAGCTTGTTGTAGAAATGGGTTATGCCTTGAATGTTATCAAGTTGCAATTATACATTTTCGAGGTATGATCGTCCGTGTCGTCTCTTTGTTTGCTTTTACCGAGGGCCTAGCGTACCTGCCTCAGAGCCAGCTGCAGCTGTTGCTCACCGGTGTATCCCTCCATGCAGGGCGTAAACACACTATAGTTCCGTGTATCAAACTTCTTCTAAAACGACTAAAAAGGACTCTCGTTTTTCGAATTAATGTTTAAACATGTTTATTTTAAATGAATGTGCAGAAATGCCAGCTTCAGGGTTTCTGTAATGTTTATTTTTCTTTTACTGTAGGCTACTGACCCCCATAAACACCAAGGCTACGGATTATACTCATAACCTGATATTGTGGACTTAGACTTAGACTTCTTTAATGTCCATCAGACTTTACATAAAATGGAAATTTGTCTTTGACAGTGGTATAAAAAACACACAACACAGACAACACTATGCACAATAAATACATATAAATAAGAATAAATATAAGTAAAATAGACAATGAAATCGGTCCAGTTTGCTCCAGAGAGGAGTTAAAAGATAGATGGGCATGAATAAAAATGCATAAAGTGCCTATACAAAACTAACTGCATAGTAAAATTATCTGGGCAGTTCTTTGTTAAGGATGGTCACGGCTGATGGAATGAATGACCGCTTGTAGCCATTGTTCCTTGCTAATGGGACTGCAAGTCTCCGGCCTGATGGCAGCAGCTGGTAAGCACAGTGGAGGGGATGAGTGGGATCTTGATAAACCTGTAATGCCTTTTTAATTAAAATCTGTGAGTACAACCATGTCCATCACCTCTCTGTCGAGGCCATCAGGGGCCATAAGGGTCTGGTTGGGTTGGGGTCAGCTGTGTGCAAGCTGTGACAAGCAGCAGGTGCGACCATTGTAAATCCCTGCAAAACTGAAGAGTGAAGCTTCATTGGTTGATTTTAGTTGTTAGATTCAGAGCATGTGCTGTCTGTGTGTCTGTCAGTCAGTCTGTCCTGTGGGTTTTATCAGAACACACGAGGACAAATTTATTTCTCTAAACTCAGCAGTGACTTCTATTTTGAAGGTGGACTTTTATTTTTAAAGTGTGGATGTGAGTCAGACTGTGATGTTTACATTCCTCAGGTGGGTCAGAGTGAGGTCATCGACAGACGTCACGTTCAAACACAGTCTGTAAATATGAACCTGAAAGACTAGACTGAGGCTGATATCTGACGCCTCAAACACTGTCCCTCTGTCTGTCTGTCTGTCTGTCTGTCTGTCAGGTCTCAGTGCTGACTCTCCAGTGATGTCTCCTCTGAAGACCATCGGAGGTCTTTTCCAGAGCACACAGGACAATCAGAGCGACATCGATGCGCAGAAAGGCAAAAGTCTGTCGCGTTCAAAGACAGGTAAAAAAAAGTCTCTAAAATCTGGGCCAGGGTTTAACTTTCAGTTTCATATCAGTGACAGGAAATTAAAGTTTGACTGATTTTATTTTTTACATTCACTCCGTGGATAAAAAGGATCCAGGTTAGTTTAAACAGACCTGTAATGGTTTCATTTGTTTCTGTCAGATATAAATATGATGTTATCATGTCGGATGTTCATGTACGTAAAAACAATCCCTGAGAGTAAAACCCTCAGGAGGCTTCAGAAACATTACATTACATTCACTGCTACATGTAGTTACACGCTAACATCAGGGAAACATTACATTACATACACTGCTACATGTAGCTACACGCTAACATCAGGGAAACATTACATTACATACACTGCTACATGTAGCTACACACTAACATCAGAGAAATATTACATTACATACACCGCTACATGTAGCTACATGCTAACGTCAGATAAACGTGTCCTCATTTCTGACGTTAAAATTGCAGATATCAGATCAGACTAATGATGAAAATGTCTGAGTGTGTTAACAGGCTGTTATTGTGACCTTTAAAGGGATGGTGTTTGGGTTAGTGCCGCTGTACTGTGATACAGTCGTTCCTTGACTGCAGAAACAACAAGATGTGGAAGACCCAGAAATGCTGACCAATCAAGGCAGACTGGGCTTTTTCAAGAGGGCAGGGCTTAAAGAGCCAGGAGACTAAAACAGAGCGTCTCAGACAGAAGGTGAACACGTGTTTATCACAGACAGAACAAAGACAATAAACATGCAAGCAATAATAGAAACTGTAAATCCAGGTGTGAACCTGACGATGAGCAGGAAGTTCACAGCTGACAGACGGCATGAAGATGGACTGTCTGTTTTCACCGCAGAATAAACCATCAGTCTCAAAACCATTGTGTGATTAAGATTATGTTAGAGTGGTGCAGGACATGTATGAGAGCTGTAGGACAGTGGTGAGGTGTGCTGTAGGTGTGACAGAGGAGTTTAAGGAGGAGGTGGGACTGCATCAAGGATCAGCTCTGAGCCCCTTCTTGTTTGCTATGGTGATGGACAGGTTGACAGGTGAGGTCAGACAGGAATCTCCATGGACTATGATGTTTGTAGATGACATTGTGACCTGTACTGAGAGCAGGGAGCAGGTGGGATGAAGGTTAGTCATAGCAAGACAGAATACATGTGTGTGAATGAGAAGGACCCAAGTGGAATGGTGAGGTTACAGGAAGTAGAAATAAAGAAGGTGGAGGATGTTAAGTACTGAGGGTCAACAGTCCAGAGCAACGGAGAGTGTGGAGAAGAGGTGAAAGACATGTGAAAGCAGGTTGGAACAGGTGGAGAAAAGAGTCAGGTGTGACGTGTGATAGAAGAGTAGCAGCAAGATTAAAAGGAAAGGTGTATAACACGGTGGTGAGACCAGAGATGTTGTTTGGTTTAGAGACAGTGGCACTGAGGAAAATACAGGAGGCAGAGCTGGAGGTAGCAGAGATGAAGATGCTGAGGTTCTCTTTGGGAGTGACGAGGATGGAGAGGATCAGGAATGAGGACATCAGAGGGACAGCTCATGTTAGATGTGTTGGAGATAAAGTCAGACTGAGATGGTTTGGACATGTTCAGGGATAGTGAATATATCGGTAGAAGGATGCTGAGGTTGGAACTGCCAGGCAAGAGGCCAAGAAGAAGACCACAGATTTATGGTTGTAGTGAAAGAGGACATGAAGTCAGCTGGTGTGTAAGAAGAGCATGCAGAGGATAGGGTTAGATGGAGGCAGATGATTCGCTGTGGCGACCCCTAAAGGGAGCAGCCCAAAGAAGAAGAAGAAGTCACACGCCAGTGTCTGACACACCTGTGTTTTACTCAACGCTTTAAAGATTTAAATCTAATCTGATGGTTGTGTTTGATTCAGTGATCTGAAAATCAGAATGGTTGTGTTCTCGTTATCTCAGCATGAGTTATTTATATCTACACAGGGAGCAGGTCCTCATCTACAGAGATCACCATGTTGCACCGCCATGTTTCTACAGTAGCCCAGAGTGGACAAACCAAACACTGACTCTAGATAGAGACATTCATGTGTCCACACTCCTTTGTGACGACAGCGTCAGACAAACACAGATTATTTTTCCTGGTGTAAATCAGCTGCTCTGTTTGTTCCTCTGTGGAGAATTCAGCTCCTCAACACTGAAGGAATTCTGACCAGGAGAAGTTTCAGATGGTTGTAATCTGTAATCAGTAATTAGTAATCTGTAATCCTTATGGATATGTCACAGCGGAACTCTAAAGAGGAACCTGAACGACACAGAGCTGTTCTGACTGATCACACCTGAGTTTTAATGATGAAACAGCCTGATGATGGACGAAGGTTCAGTCTCACTTGTCCCTAAATTAAAGACGACAGTGAAGTGATATTAGCCTGCTGTAATCTGTTGCACAGGACAGACAGTCTGAAGATTATCAAAAAAACAATCACTTTTTAACATCTCCGGGGTTGTAAACAAACAAACAAACAGGCCGCAGTGATGAGGACACCACACATCATGTCTGTGTCTCTATAAACTGTCTTTCTTTTTCAGATCCAAACATCTCTGCGTTCGGTGACTCACTCATAAAAAAAGGAGCATCAATTCGTCGAAGTCTGACATTTAGGAAGAACAGATCCACACGGGGGCAGCTCATCACCGTCTCTGAGGGCTCGGCGGAGGACAGGAAGGAGGAGAGACAGGAAGAGGAGGAGGAGGATGAGGAGGTGAGGGAGGAGATGGAGGAGTTGTACACGCTGCCAGAAATCCCTCACACACCGCTGTCAGGTACAGTCTGACCTCATTTGTCCACGACATGCTGTGTCTCACATCCAAACGTCATCTCCTCTTCTGTCAAATGACTGTTCTTTGTTTGTCCACCAGGGGGCAGCAGACCGCCAAGTCGTTACATAGAGACGAGACACCGTCTCATCTGTTGACTCTGTGTTTATAACGTTGCAAGATTTGTCTCATCTTGAATGTTCACTGATGATTGAGGTTTGACACTTTGAGACTGTCCCTCAGTTCACAGGGACGATGACACATGAAGATGTTTGTTATGTGTTCAAACCTTTTCTCTGCTCATCTCCCTAAACAACTTCCTGTCTCCTCCTCCTCTAACCCTCTGTCTGTACGTTCAGCTCGTCTGTCTCTGTTTAGGCAACAAAAGCTACTGCTGATGGTGGACGCCGGTATCTCTGTGTCTGTCCTCCCTCAGAGAGAAGACACTGTTCATAGTAGTCTTATTCCTGGTCACCACAGTCAGTGTCTGTCCTCAGAGAGGAGTCTTGGCTCTCTGATCTCTTGGGGATGTCCAGGGGACTCACAGATTGTTTGACAGGACAGATGAACTGATCAATCAATCTATCAATCAATTTTATTTATAAAGCCCAATATCACAAATCACAATTTGCCTCACAGGGCTTTACAGCATACGACATCCCTCTGTCCTTATGACCCTCACAGCTGATCAGGAAAAACTCCCCAAAAAACCCTTTAACGGGGAAAAGATGGTAGAAACCTCAGGAAGAGCAACTGAGGAGGGATCCCTCTTCCAGGACGGACAGACGTGCAATAGATGTCGTACAGAACAGATCAACATGATAAATTAACAGTAATCCATATGACACAATGAGACAGAGAGAGAGAGAGAGAAAGAGAGAGAGAGACAGAGAGAGAGAGACAGAGAGAGAGACAGAGAGAGAGAAAGAGAGAGAGAGACAGAGAGAGACAGAGACAGAGAGATGCAGGACAGACGGTAACGACAGTAGCTTACAACAACATTAATGAAAGTAATAATATTGTAATTATAGTTCTAGCTACTGTGGTACAATATGTTGAAAGTATGTATTAATATCTGACAGTATACATATGTGACAATAATCATATGTGTATGCACATATGTGCACAACCACACACGTCACACTATCCAGGCACCGCTGTAATACAAGTTAACCTGAGAGACAGTGGATAATAACAGTAGAAGTATGACTAATGATAACAGCAGCAGCAGGAGGCAGGAGAGAGAGAGAGGGAGAGAGAAGGTGCCCGGTGTATTATAGGGGGGTCCTCCGGCAGACTAGGCCTAAGTCAGCCTAACTAGGGGCTGGTACAGGGCAAGCCTGAGCCAGCCCTAACTATAAGCTTTATCAAAGAGGAAAGTCTTAAGTCTAGTCTTAAATGTGGAGACGGTGTCTGCCTCCCGGACTGTAACAGGAAGATGATTCCACAGGAGAGGAGCCTGATAGCTGAAGGCTCTGGCTCCTGATCTACTTTTGGAGACTTTAGGGACCACGATTAACCCTGCTTTCTCAGAGCACAGAGTTCATGAAGACAGCATCAGTCTTCCCTCGTCTGTCCCCTGTCCTCTTTCCTTGTATTGACCTGTCCTCAGAGACTGTCTGTCCTCTGTCTTTGTGTCTCCAGTGATGCAGATCAATAAGCTGATAGAGATGGAGGTGTTGGAGGAGGCTCACCTGAACCTGCTTGCCCTGCGGCACGAGTTCCAGCAGCAGCAGGCACGGTGTGGCGAGGATTCACCCATGGAGCTGGCCAAGAAGGAAAAAGACCTCAACCTCCTGTACAGCGAGCTGAGGAACAAGATCAATGCCATTGTACGCGACTCCAACTCTCTTCCCTCCAGAAACAAAGGGCTGCTGGTTCCTGTGGCCCGAATCATCCAGGAGGAAGAGAGTAGGGTGGAGGAACCCGGTGGGCTTCAGGGTGGCTGGATGGAGACCTGGAGGGAGGCGGTGGGCGAGGGCGTGAAGGTGAAGGTGGAGAGCATTCACCTGGAGTGTAAGGACCAGAACGCATCCTGGTTGGCGGTTCACCTGGGGCTGTTGGGTAAAGCCATCGTGGAGGACTTGGAGAAGGTAAAGCGGGAGCTGCGGTGGTCATACCCGCCCAGCTTCAGTGTCTTCAGCACCTACGTCAGGAGCTACCACAAAGTCGTCGGGCAGCACCTGAAGAAGCTGGAGCCACAGGTGACGGAGCTGAAGGACCTGCACATTCTGCTGGACTGGATCATCAACCGCTACAGGAGGTGAGTTGTTTCATCAGGTTACTGATTCTTAATATAAAACACCAAATCAATCGATCAGCTGCCGGCGTGATGTCTCTACTTCCTCCGTAAGCAAGTCACAGTCAGTATAAACACACTGCAGGTTACACACATCAATCTGCTGCTGAAAACATTCCCCAGCTGTTCTTCCTGTGAGTTTGATAAAAAATGACAGGGACCAGCTGTTTTTTGTTGTTTTTTTCTATTTGTAACCTTCATTTATAGATTTACCTCGGACAATTTGTTTACAACAAAGAAAGAAAAAGAAATCATCAATGCTGATGAAGCAGAAATCTGAAAAGACTAAAAACAAAATGGCTGAACATGAAAGTCCCCCCCCTTCTCGTGCTTAGCCCCTCCCAACAGATGACCAAAAGCACATCACCCCTTCTACAGTGACACAGTATTTCACCACCTCATCCACCTCCCTCCCTCCGCCTCACTCCGCTGTCCCTTTCAATCCACACATGAAATAAGAATTAACTGCTACCCACCCCTCACTCCCTCCACCTCGCTCCATCCACCTCACTCCATCCTCACGCTCCCTCCGCCTCGCTCTGTCTCTCGATGACTTGAGGTCAGTTCACAGCCTTTAGCAGGTATTTTATTGTGAACACAGCTTCCAACTACACACACCACAACAACAATGAGACAGCACAGCAGAGCAGTTCATCAAACATTCTTAGAGTTTTTCCTGATCAGCTGTGAGGGTCCTAAGGACAGAGGGATGTCGTATGCTGTAAAGCCCTGTGAGGCAAACTGTGATTTGTGATATTGGGCTTTATAAATAAAATTGATTGATTGATTGATTGATACTCTTTCTCATACAAACATCCTACCTAATTTTCCGTGTGTATGTTTGTGTGATTTCCTGCCATTTCCCAGAACTTGTTTTACCAACACAATGTTTGCCAGGTCACTTTGCTCTTAGACTTCGCCCAAAGTGAGACTAGTCAGGATTATTAAATTTTAGTAAACATGTTTTGCTTCTAACTTTGTCTTAACTGTCAGACATTTCTAGACCTTTGGCCACCACAGCTGCTTCACCTGGAGGAGAACAGGCAGCGACCCTGGAGTCGGACCTTCAGTCATAGATTTAGCAGCTTGAATTCAGCCAGTAGAAACTCTTCAGATCCCTGTGTCACAGTGGGCGGGGTTTAATCTGTGTGATAGCAGCAACAGAAAGTTTGCTGATCGGAGCACTCCGCCGGCTGAACGTGAAGTTACTACGGCTGCTGACTGGAGGTCAGTCTCTGGAGCTGCTGTTCAGTCTCCTCACAGCGAGGCAGTCTGTTGCGGCATGGAGTAAGGGCAGAGTGCACTGTGACTGGAGCAGTTTTCTCCCAGTGAATTTCATATGATCAAAGGTTATTAACACTGAGCCTTAATTCTTATTTTATCCTGGTCATATTAAATATTTAGCCATTGGGTTTTCACTGAGTCCCATGTTTTTTCCAATCATTGGAGCCAGTTGGTAAATTAAACTTTTACCAAACCGCGTAGGAAGGACGGCAAACACATTCTTGTTTTCAATAAAAGCTTTCAGTGCAGTTGTTTGTTCTGCTTTTAAAGAAAATGTACATTCCAGTTCGTTCAACACATTTACCATAGGCAGTTTCAAAATCAGTAGCCATGTTGGTTGTTTACGAAATGCATTCACTCTGCTCCTTGTCCCTCCTATTCTGATGACGTGCCCACCCCAAAGTAATAAACGGTTGTGATTGGCCCAGTAAGCTGCATGGCCAGACTGATCTGTGGAGCGAAACAGAATTTGAGCTTGCGAGATTAGGATGGTTTCACCAGGGTAGGTGTGTATATATGAATTCACATAATGTATGTAAAGTTTTAAATGTCACTGTGAGGGCACTTGAAATTTCACTGTATCATTGTATATAGTGACAATGAAGGCATCTTATCTTATCTTACAACGCCCTGAATGCAAGCTGTAACAGAGCAGTGTGTGTTCACTGAATCAGAGCCTGAATATTTATGAGGAAATGGACAGACAGACAGACATTGTTTTAAGACGGCCTGTAACAGTGTTTAAAAATCATCTCTGACAGTAAAGATGTGCAGACACATGTTAAAAGGATCAAGAGAGGGCGACGCTGCTGCTGCTGACATGATTTGTTGAATCAGGTCACGACTGAACCAAAAAAACTGAGCTCAGCTCCAAACAACATCCGGAGAGCAAAAATAAACGGATGAAAACAGAAGCACAACATTCTCCAGAGGCCAAAATGGAAAAACTGAAATTAGGTTGTGTCCACGTGTCTCTCAAATCAGAAGAAAAAAGACACGTATGTGAAAATAAACTCTGGTTGGATTTTTAGGAAACTTTTAAGAATCTGAGGATCAGTTAACTTCATGTTTCATCACAAAGGTTGAGGTGAAATCTGAACCTGTAGAGCTTTGAACTTGATTTCTTCCCCGACATAAAGCAACACGTCATCAGCATCCGTAAGCTGCGACAGTAAACATTGTTAAATGTATCTGGTTTCATCCTGACAGTGAGAGGATCATGGGAAGCTTTTCCCTGCAGCCAGACATGAAGGACGAGAGCGTCGCTCTGCAGCTGGAGGACGACCTCCTGAAGCAGCTCAAAGACAAGTACTGCTGCAGAGTGAAGGTGAGACGACTTTGACATCACAATGTCTGACAGGTTATTTATTTTCTCCTAAGCAGATTGTTCAGTCCTCCGTGTTGGAATCAAAATGTTTATTTGATCCACAAGATAAAAACCCCTCTTGCACTCAGAGCTTCATCAGGTTAGATTCAACATGGAGATAATGAATTTGTCAGGACACGAAGAGCCCAAAAACACACTCATAAATTCAGTCATTTAAGACATTTAAATCCAAAGTGAAGGAAAATGTTGTCTCACCGTCAGAAACAATTTCAAATTTAGTGACAGAAACAGAAGAAAGAAAACACGAGACAAACGAGCAGCATCACATCTCTGACAAACTGGCGAGGAGTGAAGGCAGATTTATGGCGGTATGTTGTCTCTACGCCGATGTTGTCTTTATCTGGACACATCTCCTCCACAAGTACAACATGCTAACGTTATGAGCACAAGCCTATGGCATTTTACATTGTGTTAATTAGCTTGGCAGCTAGTGCAGTTTCCCTCTGCTTATGTGAAGTCGGGATAAATCACACAGTGTAGGGGCTTTGTTTTCTTCACAGCTTATTGTTTATCTGTGAAATCAGAGTAAGGTGGGCGGGGCGTTCAGGTGAACAGATGGGCAGGTAGTCAGGTGAGCAGGTGGGCAGGGCAATCAGGTGATGGTTAAAGGAGAGAAAGTCCGAGGACATCTGGTGGATGGATGTTTTTCTTCCAACCAAAGAATAAAATCATGTTTCCTAAAATAAGATGAAAACATTTATTTTAATTTTAAATCAGAATCTAAGTTTCATTCTTTTTGCTCAGATTTCAGCCACAGAGCCAAAATCTAAATAAATAAAATGTAGTTATAATAAAATATGAACGTGAGGATTGATTTGTAGGAGACGAGCTGCTCTTCAGTTTGGACACTTTAATTTTGGCCACATTACAAAAGTAGAAAAACTCTGAAGTGAATTTTTAAGACACTAAAAGAACGCCTGTGACTGAATCCAGTGGAAACAACAATAATTAAACATTTGAATATTATAAGTGAGAAGGTTCAGATGAGCTCAGTCATGTCTCAGGGACGATCCTGTCTCTGACTGCAGGAGGACATGAGGTCTTCACTGGACAGACTCATTCAGCTGGAGAATGAGGAGTTTTGGGCGCACAGCAGGATTCCAGAGAAGGACGACGACGGTTTCTTCAACTCTCAGGTTCACATGGACGTCTGGACGGTAGGACACAGTCAGCTGTTTGACCTCATGTGATGTTTCAATTCTTCTTCAAATGACTCTTTATTAAAGATTCATTTTTTTCTAAATGAAATCCAAAAATCAGAAACCTTTTATGTTAAAAATATATTTCATCACCAAAGTCCCGTCAAAACCACTGGACATTTAAATAAAAAGCAGATGTACATTCACACCAGTGGCGGCTGCTGGTCTGTCAAACAGGGGAGGCTCACTTTAAGTTTACATCATAACATGTGTCATATTGTAGTGAGGCAGTAACTTATAAAAGGAACATTTAATTGAAGCCATTTTTCAACCACACTCATGCCTTAGATCCACAGCAACACACACCTCAGAGATTCACAGATGGGTTTAACGGTGAAAATGAGCCGTATGGTTTATGGAAATAAGGAACTCTGGATGGCACTCTGTCAGAAAACTCCACTCACAAATATCCGCATGGGACTGAGCTCGAAATGCGAAGCGCTGTCAATCACAAAGGGGTTCAGCCTTTTAGACAATTCCTCCAACCATCATGCAGACACCGAGCGTCCTCTCCCGCCTACCGCTCCATCAGGTCCCAGGGAAGCTGAGCCTTTACCCAATGACCGTCTCGCTTTGCTGCATGAAACAAACCTGCTCAGCGCTGTCTCATAGGAATGCTTGGAGGCTCCACATCCACCGCGCTGACACGAGAATGTATGACAGGGAGATCGCGTTTGAAAACTGGTGATAAACAGCTGACGTTTGAATATCATAGTCGTGATGTGAAACGCATCCTAGCACACGTTTAATGCAATGTCTTGTTTTAATGTAAATTCAATAGTGCATATTTGACCATTTCTTCTATGAACTTTTAGGGGAAGTTCAGCCTCCCTTGTTGTCTCAGAGCAATTGGCCCTGGTTCATACAGGAGGAACACAGTTTTAATTTAAATATAGAAACTCACATTTTTTAACTCTTTGAATTTTAAAAATGTTTTAAAACAAAACACATTGAATTTTATTCCTAATAATAATAATGACAATAAAAATGATAATAATCTTTATATATAGTTAATTGTAAATGCAGTTATTAAATAAATGCGTGTCAAGGTTATGTTTTTGTTTACTTTTGTTTTTATTTGACTATGTTTGGTATTTATTGTTATTTATTTGTGTGTATTGTTGGCATTGTTACTGTTTGTTTTTAGTGGGACTTTTAGTTGTATTTATTTATTATTATGTATTATTATTAATATTATATATTATTTATTTGTGTGTTTTGTGTGTGTGTGTGTGTGTGTTGTTGCTGTTTGACTTGCTGAACAAACATCCCGTTCAAAAGTCAGATGGTCTTTCAGTTGAAGTTAAATGACTCGTGGACATTTAATTTTTGATGCAGTGCTGTGATTTGACCACAGAGGGGCAGCAGAGAGCTTCATTTGAACTGTCTCACTGACACTGAGTCTGTTTAAAATAAAGTATCTACAGGAAGAGAAAGAAATGTTTCATTCATATGTTTCTTTATTAAACTGTGTGTTTTGTGTTTTTACAGAAAGTGAAGGGAAACATTGTAAACACTCGACTCATTGATGCTCAGCTGGAACAGGAAGTGATCTCATGCTGCCTCATAGAGCTGAAAGAGTTTCCTAAAAGGTTCGTTAACAAAGAGACACACTGTATGTTGAACAGATGTCGGGTCGACATCAGTATTTAGAAGATGTGCATTATTTAAAACAAAACAACTTTTTGGTCCGAGTATGAACAGATCTGTGGGAGATGTTTTAAATGTACACAGTTTTCAGCTGAAATCTAATCTAATCTGATCATTTGAGTCCTTAAAGAGATTTATCAATTAATAAAATTGAGTTTATCAGTGACGTAGATCACAGTTTATTTAGGTCACATTTAAAGTAGGTCACATTTAAAGAGGCTTCTTCCTCAGACAAAAGTCACTGAAGAGGAGGTAGCGTAAATCAAACGGCAGTAGCTCAGTCCATAGGGACTTGGGTTGGGAACCGGAGGGTCACCTGTTCGAGTCCCCGTCCGGACCAAAATATGGAGCGTGGACTGGTGGCTGGAGAGGTGCCAGTTCACCTCCTGGGCACTGCCGAGGTGCCCTTGAGCAAGGCACCGAACCCCCCAACCGCTCGGGGTGCCTCACCAAGGGCAGCCCCCTCACTCTGACATCTCTCCACTTTGTGCATGTATAGGTCCTGTTGGTGCATGTGTATGTCTTTCGGACCTGTGTGTAATTGGCAAGCAAAAGTGAAAACATTGAATTTTCTGTCAGGGGGATTAATAAAGTAAATAAACTTAACTTAAACTTAAACTTAAACCTCAGCAGAGAAACATTAAAGGAAATGGCCACTTTAGAATGAAAATACAGACAGTACTTACTGACCCTCATGCCGACAAGAAGTCCAGTGTAGTTTTTAATCCACAAAACTCTTTCGGGGTATCGGAGGATAACAGCTAGCTGGAATAACAGCTACACTTGAAGGGCATGGAACCCACATTTTGAAAATGTAATAAAACTCCGCTAATGCATTTCAAAAACGTCAGAACGGCTCGTCTGTTGTAATCCAAGTGCCCTCAAGCTGTGGCATTGCAACACTGACTTGAAAAGACATAATTTACTCCACTTTAATAGCATCATTTTTCACTGTGGTCAGTTAGCCTGCCCTGTAGGCTGCTGTGTTAACATGGCAACTCACACGAGACTTGAGAACTAGCACCACCACTAGCCGTCAGCTAGTCTCGTGTGAGTTGCCATGTAAACACAGCAGCCTACAGGGCAGGCTAACAGATCACGGTGAGAAACGATGCTATTAAAGTGGAGTAAATTATGTCTTTTCAAGTCATTTTGCATGCCACAGCTTCAAGGCACTTGGATTACGATGGACGAGCTGTTCGGACGTTTTTGAAATGCATTAGCAGAGTTGTATTACATTTTCAAAATGTGGGTTCCATGCCCTTCAAGTGTAGCTGTTATTCCAGCTAGCTGTTATCCTCCGATACCCCGAACGAGTTTTGTGGATTAAAAAACTACACTGGACTTCTTGTCGGCATGAGGGTCAGTAAGTACTGTCTGTATTTTCATTCTTAAGTGGCCATTTCCTTTAAATCAGAAAAGTTAAATAAAGACACTGAACGTCTAAGAGCTTCACTACATTGTTTTTTAAATGGTAAAAAGCTGGTGTGGTGACGGCTGTGACAGCCGCGACAGTCATGACAGTCGTGGCGGTCATGACGGTCATGCTTAGAGTTCAGAGACACACTCACTGTGGTTTACAGAAAACAATGATAACATGGAAACAGTCTCCTGCTTTTGTATTTTTGGACCTACGACCATAATTTCACTTTTGCCTTTGTTTAGTTGTAGAAAGTTTTGAGACGTCTAGTCGTTGAGGTTGTCAGTGCATCTTACAGCTCGTTCAGTTCAGGACTGAGGTTATCTGAGACACACAGCTGGTGCACGTCACAGAGTTATTCATTATAATTAATTCAATGATCTATAAGACCAATAGAACAGGATCATTTTCATGTCCTGAGGATTCAGTTATTAGTGAAGAGGTCAAAGGTCAAACAGCAGCAGGCCGGAAAAACAAGTCCAACTGTCTGAGCAGGAATAAAATAACACACCACCCACAGTAAAAAAATATCAGTGAAGAAGTGAAAGAGGAAGGTGGAGGTGTGACAGCAACAAACTCCAACATGTGCAATCACCACCCTGCTCACAGTAAACACCAAAAATATCAGAAGAAGAAAGAGGAAGTGGAGGTGTGACGGCAACAAACCAAAAACAGAATCCTGCCCTCCATCATGTGCAATCACCACCCTGCTCACAACAAACCCCAAATACATTTTAAATATATCAGAGGAGAAGTCAGAGAGGATGGCGGAGGTGTGAAGACGAAAACAAACTCCAACATGTGCAATCACCACCATGCTGCGGGATTTTCCTGTTGAATAACGTGATTTATGACTAACATTGTTTTTGACTGAACTCCAGTGTCACCAAAGTATTAGTGCCATGGTGTACAAATACTGCGTTACTAGTGAAGTTATCAGTGCCACGGTGTACAAATACTGTGTTACTAGTGAAGTTATCAGTGCCACGGTGTACAAATACTGTGCTATAAGTAAATGTATCAGTGCCCTGGTGTACAAATACTGCGTTATGAGTAAATGTATCAGTGCCACGGTGTACAAATACTGTGTTACTAGTGAAGTTATCAGTGCCCTGGTGTACAAATACTGTGTTATGAGTAAATGTATCAGTGCCCTGGTGTACAAATACTGTGTTACTAGTGAAGTTATCAGTGCCACGGTGTACAAATACTGTGTTACTAGTGAAGTTATCAGTGCCCTGGTGTACAAATACTGCATTATAAGTAAATGTATCGGTGCCCTTGTGTACAAATACTGCATTATAAGTAAATGTATCAGTGCCACGGTATACAAATACTGTGTTACTAGTGAAGTTATCAGTGCCACGGTGTACAAATACTGTG